TGTATATTATGTATACAGAATAATGGGCTTCATCTTGGCATATTCTTTTTTTTTTTTTTTTTTTTTTTTTTCAGTGGAACCGGAATCAGGGATTGAACTCAGGTCCTTGGGCTTCCCAGGGAAGCACTTATTCCACTGAGCCATCTCCCCAGCCCCATCTTGGCATATTCTAACATGCATTTAACACACATAGATCATTTCCACCATCCCCTTTACCCTCTCTGACCTGCTCTCTTCCCCAGTTACCTTATTCTTGCTGAAGGTAATCTGAATTGGTTCCACTAATTTGGGGTTTTTTGGGGGGTTTTTTGTTTTGTTTTTTGTTTTTTTGCTCTGAAATCTGCTTTGCCTGAATTAAACATAACTACTTCAATGTTTTTTTTCTTGATTAGCAAAAGCAGGTTATATCTTTCTCCCTTTATTTTTTTTTTCAAAATTTTATTGATAAACAGATAGCAATGAGACAGTTCTTTCTCCCTTTATACCTCTGGGTTTTTTTGTTTGTTTGTTTGTTTTTTCCCCCCTCCAAATTTGCTTTCTGTACTGGGTAGAAATAAATGAATGAACACAAATTTAAGCCAGATACTAAATTCTCTTATAATACAATTACAAAGAGCTTTCAAGAAACTTCTTTTGTATGTAGAAAAGGGTTTACCTTTGTATTTGAAGTGGGCTTCTTATGACAACAGAGATCCATTTTGATATTTTCTTCTTATAAATTAATGATTACTGATAAAAAGTTACATTAATATCTAACATATTTGCATTCTTTTCCCTTTTTGTCTTCCACTCACTTTCTGCTTTCACCTCTTTCAAATAAGTGTCTTATTATTCTATAGCCTTATTTTTTTTTTACTTTTTTTATAGTTACTCTTGGTATCCCAATATTCACTTAAAATTATCCACTTCGTGCTGCACTGCAGGGTGTCCGCCCGTTTGAGGAGCGCAGTGGGGTGGTTCCATGCGGGACGCCGTGGGGCCAGTGGTACCAGGCCCTGGAGGTGTTCATGAAGTTCAGGTGCCGCCGGGCACGCGCGCGCAGGACATCCAGTGCGGCCTGCAGAGCCGGCACGTGGCGCTGGCCATGGGAGCCGCGAGATCCTGAAGGGCAAACTCTTTGATTCTACCATAGCTGATGAGGGAACATGGACTTTGAGGATAGAAAAATGGTCCCCATTGTTCTTACTAAGACAAAGAGAGATGCAGCAAATGGCTGGACTTCTCTTCTAGAATCTGAATATGCTTTTGATCCATGGGGGCAGGACCAAATGCAGCGAAAGCTTATGTTGGAAAGGTTCCAGAAAGAAAATCCTGATTTTGATTTCAGTGGAGCAGAAATCTCAGGAAACTACACTAAAGGTGGACCAGATTTCTCAAAACTTGAGAAATAATTGCTGTGTTTTAAATGCATTCTGTGGATCCTAACAAATGTTATCAATTTAATCAAAGGAGCAGATTATGAGACAGAAGAATGGATGCCTACAACAAATTGTAAAATATATTTAAATATGGTTCTAAAATTGTATTTAAATATGATTTACATAGGAAACATGCTATGAGAGCTATTCTATAGATATATAACTTTTTAGACTTGTTTTTGTTCAGCATGAAGTTTTATATGCTGCGTTTTACTAATTTCATATTTAATTGCATTTTTACTACAAAAAATATTAACAACATATGCAACATGAAATGAAAGTGTGTCGTCAGGGAAAAATTTTCTCTTTGCTAAATGTGATGCAAGAATGACATTCAAGGGGCCAGGGAGATGGCTCAGT